TTGGATGGGTAGGAATAGAAAATAATTCAATGCACTACAGTTTTACTTAATATGTACATATCACAAACATCTCATTCTCGATTGCAAATGGATCAATGCAGTTGAAGTATGAAATACATAATTGGAAAGTTAATCACAAGACTGATAACTACTGAAAGCCTGAAGGACAAAACACACCAGCAAATAGAAAAACACATCAGAAAATACAAAAGCACACCAGCAAATGGGAATCACGCCAGCAAGGACGAAAACATATCAGCAAATGGGAAAACATACCAGCAAATATGAAAACATTACAACATTAGCAGCGCTGAAACGGAGAGGGTATGTACCTTCTGATCATTACATGCTTGTTACTGATTGGACAGGGACCCAGTCAATCGACTGACAGTCATAAATATAGTTAGTCTGTTGCTCTTAGGAGAACCTGTTTCCTCGACAAGAAAGATGGAGAAGTTTACACATTTTCATGGACTGTTTCCATATTTGTTTGCACTTTTTTCAATGGTCTTTGTACTTTGCATAACCTGCACAAAATTATGCATTCTGAATATATTTTTTTGTTCCACTCCCCACATTACTGTTCTGTTTCTTATTGCACCGTTTATGCTGTTCTGTCCTGTTGCCCCCCATGCACCTCTTCCCTCCCCTGTAACTGTGGCACAAGAATTTCACTTCCACTGAGTTCAATGACACGTAACTAAACTGATTGTGATTTAAGAGAATTCTCACTGACCCGTATTTAAAGGCACAATATGAAATAAACCTCCTACCGGCATGCCGAATGAAGTGCTCATTGTCACTACCTGTTGCTTTATGTTTCAACTTCCAGAAAATTCTCACTCAAATAGAACAACAGACTAATATTTAACGCACTGCAGATTCTCGCAATTTGTTTACTTCAGTCTCTTCGTCTCCCCCTTTCATGCTTAACATTTCTAAAGGCAAAGTACCATGCAAGACTGAATATTTCCTCCTGACAGACCTGATCACTTTTCTGCATGGGTACGGAGATTCACAAGGTTTCTGCAGTAGGTTTCTGCACCACTCAAGCGTAAGTGCGATCGTAGTCTATAATAATAATAATACATTTTATTTTAAAGGCGCCTTTCAGAGCACACAAGGACACCGCACAGAATTACACAACGAATAAGAACAATCAGAATAAAAACAAATTACAAAACTAAAACAGTATAAAAAGCTAAAAGAATTCACAGAGTAGGCACTTTTAAACAGATGNAAGATTATTGCTCTGTACATGGGCTGGATCAGTTGGATAACTCAATCTCAGCAAAAAATCCAATTCTGTATTCATGGATCCTGCCTCACTCTTCACCTCAGTATCCTCCCCTGTAGTCTCTCCTTTACCTATTTCCAAGTCTGTACTGTCTGGTCTGGTCCTGGCTCTTTGTCTGTTGGACTTGGCTCATCATCTGTCCAATGTTAAAAACAACAATAATGATAAATAATAATAATAATCGCAACCCAGATGGATAAGCGGGTTGGAAAATGGATGGATGGATAATAATAATAATAATAATAATAATAATAATAGGCCCACTAGAAGCAGTAGTATATTGTTGTGGTTGTTGTTTTTGTTCTGCACAGGCAAGATCTTTGATTAGAAAGTGCAAAATTACTAATTACAATTAGTCTGAAATAAGTCTGAAAATATGGGCCTATTTCCCCATTTCACACCAAATAATGTAGCGATTACCATTTCTATCACAATGTCTCTGTCTCACCGGCTCGTTTGCTTGCTTGCAACCAACTCTGCAAGGATGTGCTCCCCTTTGCTGTCTCTCTCTCTCTCCAAAATCATCCTCTTCTCAGAAGGCATCCTAGCTTCGCGTAGCATACAAACACCCAAAACAGCGATAGCATTTAGGCATTTTACCATTTCGAATAAAACAATGAATGTCATGCATATCACAACAAAAATGATTACGTCCATCATTTATGCTTCTCGTTAAAACAAATGTTGGAGAATAACCATCAGCAGACGTGTACTTTTCCTACCAAAACATTTAGCATGTGATAACCTAACATGCTATCTGGTAACTGCCTGGTTCATTACGTGGGACTTATGAAGATTTTAATTCATTTCGTAAAAAAATTATGATAGTTCGTTGTTAATCATTTCTACAACGTCAGTGTGTAATAGGCAGTTGCAAAATGCAGACTCTGGCTCTAGTGCCGTGGATTCGTGTGACGCGGCTAAAAGGGAAACAGACCGACTGAGCTTTCAGAAGCTACGTCACTCGCTTTGCCTCCAAGTTTATCAAGTGGAAGTGAATAGCTTGATGGCAAAGTAACTAGTCTCAGAATGAATCTGTAATGTTAACGTTACAGCCATATGCATTTCTCTCTACCTTACATGAAGCGTGTCAGGTGGCGTTTTTTAAAAATGCATGCAGTTTGCTGCCATTCAGGAGGTGCGCACTGCAGGGGAATGGGCCATTCAGGAGGTGCGCACTGCAGGGGAATGGGCCATTCAGGAGGTGCGCACTGCAGGGCAGGGGCGCCGCCAGGGGGGGAAAGGTTAGAACGATTCTAGGGGCCCAGCACTGACATGGGGCCCTGTTAGGGGCTTTACTTTTTCGCAAAAAGGGGGGGGGGGGGCAAAATTCTAATCTTTCATGGGGCCCAAGATTTCTGGCGGCGCCCCTGCTGCAGGGGAATGGGCCGTTCAGGAGGTGCGCACTGCAGGGGAATGGGCCATTGCTACTGTATGTGACTGAGCTCCACCCAGCACGTAAAATTAAAAAGCATTTTCCTGACGAAGATGACTTGCGCATCTTTTTTCCTCTTCACGCATCAAAAGCTCACGACAGAATATTTTTCTAGGAGGGGCAGCTTGAGTCGAATAGGGCAGGCAGGCAGTTGCCCGGGCAACCTTAGCCGTGCCCTGTGCATGTCCCTGATGTGGACGTTGTCCCATTCCATCATGGTAAACAGAGAGCTGATCTGCAACGTGAAGCTGTTGATTTACAGGTTGATGTTCCGAACATCACGTATGGTCACAAGCTTTGGGTAGTGACCAAAAAAATCAGACTGTGGACACAAGAGGCTGAAATGAGTTTCCTTCGCAATGTGTCTGAGCTCAGCCTTAAAAATAGGGTGAGCTCAGACATTCGAGAGAAGTCACATCAAAACGAGCCAGCTGAGGTGATTCAGGCATCTATCTAGGATGCTTCCTGGAGAGGTACTTCAGGCATGTCCAACCAACAGGAGACGCTAGAGAGACCATATTGCTCAGCTGGCCCGGGAATGCCTTGGTGTCCAGCTCTGGATTGAGATCCCCCAGGATACAATCTGTTGTCTCATTAGGAGAATGCCCTGGCAATGTCAGGTATGTATACAAGCATGTGGGGACCAGACAAACTACTGAGTACGATTTTTGAGTTGCTACATTGAAATTTCGGCAAAATGGACTAGCCTGCTGCATCATTTTTTCACTTTGATTTTTGGGGTGTCTTTAAATTCAGTCCTCTGTAGGTTGATAATTTTCATTTCCATCAAACAATGTAGCATCCTTTCATTCATTCCTAACACATTACTCAGTCCATATCAGCATAGATATCTGGTATGATTTTTCCCCCATTGAGATTTGATGTGTTTTCAAAGTGTTCCTTTATTTTTTTTGAGCAGTGTATTACTTTAAGGGTGTGCACACTTACGCAACCGGCATATTCTATTCTACATTTATGATTTTTTTTAATTCCCCCCCCCAACAGATTTCAATTGTACAGGTCAGTAAACGTTTTGAAATGATTTATCGTGGTATCATTTTGTTACATCACAAAAACCTGCCATTTTAACAGGGGTGTGTACACTTTTTATATTCAATGTAGTCCTAATGAAATGGATTTTGATATAATATTTTATAATGAATAAGGGTACCAGACGACTAAATTTTGCATCCACATTCAAAAGCATACTCCATGTACCAAAAGGAAGGGGAGAGAGGTATTGCATAACAAAGCAGCCTTTAATTCACTCTACCTGGTTCTCTCCAAGGAGAATATAGGCATGCAAATTGCCCCACCGGTGTGGATGCTGTGGTGATCTTCCTACGGCAACAGGGAGGACCTACTGATGCCGCTTCTCCTGATCACCCTTGCATATACCCCCTCAATGTCTCTTGTACCTATACATTGTGTATATTGTGTTTTTATATTGTTCTTATATCTTGTACTGACGCTGTCACTTTCTTGCATCTTTGTGGTCTTGCCAGCTAATTTCGTTGTCCAGGCAACTGTACAATGACAATAAAAAGTCTTGAAGTTTTTGCCTCAGTGGATTGTCTGCTGTCCCTGCAGTCCCTGGCCCCATTCTCCGACCCTGGTACGGCCTTGTCTCATCTGTCCTGAGTCCCATTTTGTACTGGTCATGGGTCTTGTCTTGGTCTCATGCGGTGAGAACAAAGTACTCCTGGTCCCGTGTGGGTCTCTATGATGTCCGGTCCTGCGCTTTGTATGTCGTTCGCCCTGATGTTGGGTCCCACATGTCCCTTGCCCTGTTTGGTCCCTGTGGGTCTCCTCCCTGGTCCTGGGGGGGAGGGTACTCTCATACTGTCACAGCCTGTATTCCTGCTCCGCTTTACTAATCTGTCTTCCCTCTTGTTTCAGCCCTAGTGTGATTCACACCAGATGTCTCTCGTTTGCTCCTCATAAGTGATGTATAAGAGTGCCTCCCAGTCATTGACGATGCACCAGTGTGTGCTACAGGGGTTTTCCTACATGCCAATTTTGTCTTATTTGACCCCACATGGTAAAGCTTTTGTTTACCCTGTTCCCATTCCTAAATAACCCCCCTTTGGTTTGCCCTCACACCAGCTCCTGCCTCCTTCATTGTTGGAACGTGACACTCTGATTGTGACTGTTTACCTCAAACTGTCTCTCAGTTTTGGCTACACTAGTGTCTCCCTGACAGCAGCAGTGAGAGGTACCCATTGTGGTGGGGGTAGGGTCTTTCATTATTTTCAATGCTCTGCCCTCCTCAACACTGAGTGCCCTGCAGGTTCACAAGATCACACCTGACAATGCATTAAGCCAGGAGTGCAGTTCTTTACTGGTTGATTAGTGTTGTGCAGCTACATGAGATCCTCATTGACGTTTTCACTTTCTCCACCTCTATCTCACCAATGTGCAGTGTTCTGTGCTGTTCCCACCTTTTCTGTGGGTCCACAATAATCTCCATTGTCTTTTTCCTTTGTCCACACCTGTGTGGGTGTGTTGCTTGTTTTCCTTGTGATCTGCAGGTTTTCACTGGATGCTGAAGCATCCTCCCATGGTCAAATGACATGAAGGTCATGCTCATTGGCATCTCTAAGCTGTCCAAGCTCCTCCTCTGATACAAACAGGATAACAGCTCTCTATAAAGGCTGAATAAGAGCACATCACTTAAAGCTGTCCCAGTGAAAAAGACCCCACTAAGGTAAAGTCAAACAACTGAAAAATCTTATATTTATTTAATCTACAGTATCATGGCTACAATTTCTGGTTGAGGTACTTCATCAATATTTTCTCCAAACTGTCACAAAGGTTCAGTCTGTGGTTCTATAGAATTACTCACTGCAGTGTTGTTTTTCATGTGAATTCATATTTATTTGAATTGCGTAATTCGGCAAAAAATAATTTTGTTGTTGTTTTAGGGCTGTATGCCTCTTTCTTAGGTTTTTTTTGTTTACACAAAAAGTGTTTTTAACACAATGTATTGCATTGCAGTCTTGCCTTTTAATGTGTATCTTATTTGATTGCAAGAAGAAATGCTCAGATGGTCTAACATAGGGAATGAAAACTCCAGATTTGCACAATGTGTGGTATCCATAAAATAAAGTGTTTTATTTTTTCTTCAGGGTTAAGCTAGTTTGTTGTATTTCTTTGTAGTATTATTAACATAATGCTTAACTAATAAAAGTAAAGAGCCAGCATTCTGGCTGATCAATGTGCAGCCTTTATTTTTTTAAACGTGATGGTAAATATCAATGTGATCAATATTATAGATAGAGACATTCAGCTTATTCGGCAGGCTGTGCGATAAACAAAATAAGGATCTTTTCATTTTTGATTTTCCTTCCCGGTCATTATGGGGGATAATTAGTTGTACTTCCTTGTCGTAATAATTTTATAACCAGCAAAAAAAAAAAATCATGATTATTTTTCTCTGTGCGCCAGCATTATGAGTTTCAAAGCGATGCAGATCGCAGCCCTTGGACGACCATTACACCCCGGAATGCTGTATGACTGCCGTGATGACAGCTTCATTCCAGGTAATGGGTTTTAGATTGTTTCTGTGAAGATTCTGTCAGAACATTTAAACCTGCCTCTTAACCCCTTCTAAATAAAATAATTGAATTATTCAGGTGTATTATCATTTGGCTGATGTATTATGAAATCTTGCAATACAATATAATATTTTAACTACAAATGTGTGGTTTCCTGTATTCCCCTACTACTCCAGGAGTTACATTGTGGGACCCTGAAGATATTGAAAAGAACTTAAGTGTGCATGAACAAAACCAAACAAAATCTGAAATCACTCCCTCTGACTCTCTTAGTAAGAAGTCCAGTCTGCTGGACATAAGTGCCTCCCTGAAGGCGAGTTTCTTGGGGGGCCTGGTTGAGGTAGGAGGGTCAGCAAAGTATCTCAAAGACATACTGACCTTGGAAAGTCAGTGTAGAGTGACTATGCATTTCAGCCAGAAGACTGTGTTTAAGCAACTCAACATGAGGAATATTGGCAAAATAACTTGTGCAGATGTGATTAAACATGGAACAGCCACTCATGTTGTCACAGGTGTGCTGTATGGAGCTGATGCCTTCATGGTTTTTGATCAGACTGCTTCCAGGAATGAAGATAAGCAGGAAATTCAGGGCTCACTGGAAGTCATGGTCAAGAAAATTCCATTAATTCCTATTAGTGGCAGCGGAAAACTGCAAATGACAGATGAGGAACAGAAAAAGGTGGAGAAATTCCAGTGCACCTTCTATGGTGATGTTAAACTTGAAGAAAATCCAACGACCTACATGGAAGCAGTGAAAGTGTATAAATACCTGCCAAGGCTTCTAGGAGAGAGAGGAGAGAAGGCTGTCCCAATGACAGTGTGGCTTTACCCTCTGAAGTACCTGGACAAGAGAGCAGCCAAGTTAGTGAGGGAGATCAGTGAGAACTTGATTATAGAAATGGAAACTGTCATGGAAGACCTTCAGAGAGCTACCATCACAGTCAATGAGCTGCTGCAAATCAGTGAGACCATTCAGGCTACTGATATACAGGCCAAACTGAAAACATTTCATCACATGCTCAGGCAATACAAGATTACTATACTAAAAAACATCTCAACACTTCTTCCTATTATCCGTAAAGGAGCAAAGGATAAAAAGGTTCTGGAGAAAATTCTAAAATATCATCATGAATCACCTTTCACACAAGCCAAGGTGAATAAATGGCTGGATGAGAAGAGGACTGAACTTGAGGTGATCAGAACGTACATTGATGCCTTTGAAAATCAAAAAAATGCCGAAATAGTGTCTTTCAAACAGCACAGTGGATTTATTTTCAGCCCCCACTATGAGTCAGTCTTCACATTTGTCTTCACCTCCCTGAAGTATGAAGAGCCATACATTTTGGATCTCACAAAATGTCTGTCTGAAAAGTTTATCCGAAAGAAGAACACTGGAGATTCCTTCAGGAAAGCTGTTGAGGATGACAAGACAACCCCTTGGTTTCTCAAATCGGACATCTCACAGACCATGAGAGACACCTTTGACCTGTTCAGTATATTTTCAGATATCAACAAACAAGAAAAAAAAAACAAATTTGTTGTTTCCTACATCTCTGACCCCACTCATCCTGGGGCCGCCATTTATCTCCATCAAAGAGGGAACCTGGTGGATACCCAGTACAAACCCATGTTAAAGCCAACTCCACCTGTAGTACTTGACATAGGGATCAGGAGTACAATTCTGAAACTGCAGTCATCTCCAACTTCAAACCCTATGCCATTCAGACTGGAGTTCAAGAAGGAAAATGGAGTGAAAGACTGGAGGATCACAGACATACAAAAAAACCAGGAGAACTGGATCGTCTCAGGGTTGAAGCCAGACACTGCGTACCTTCTTAGGTACAAGGCAGTCGGTGCTGGTGTAGTCAGCGAGCCCAGTGACACTGTGAAGATTCACACCAAAAAATTCTCAGAAATGTTAATCCTCAAATTCATGTAACATAGGGCTGTGCGATACGGCATAAAACTCATATTGCGGTATAATTTGAACCATAGACTGTAGACTGTATATATTGCGGTATATAATTTGATCTGTAAATTTCATTATAGCAGTTTTTGAAAGGGTAACATATGTCCATAGCAAAGGCATTGCAGCAGGAACTTGTATAATAAACTTCACGGGTTCGGGTACCCAACGGGTGACCTGCAAATTTTGATGAAACGAGTGAAAAATATTCTACTGTGCCGGATACGGGTTCGGGTCGGACGCAGGAGAGCGAGGTTCTAAATTGCCATTTTCAAAACATCATGTGCCAACAAAAAAATACCCTAGGACTATATTTTGATGACACACAAAAAATCCCTGCATTCAGGATGGTAAAACGTAAAATCCATATCAGTTTATGCCTGCACGCGCATTCCAGGAAATCTCTCCCACTTTCATTTTTAAAAAACGCGCGCGATCTCAAGCAGTTGTTCGAAATGGATGCTGAGGAGTTGAAAAGAAAATCAGCAAGTGAAAGAGTTTAAAGTTATTGCCAATATCTCCACTAAAATCAAAGTCAGACGTGTGGAAGAATTTTGGCGTTCTCAAATAACGAAAACAACTATTTTGACATCTTGTCTTGGTGGAGAGAGCATGAGTGTTTGTTTTCCAATATTGTTCATATTGCGAGATCTATTCTCGCCATCCCGGCATCCAGCGCCGCAAGTGAGCGAGATCTCATGTGCCGGATGTGTCATCCGGGAGCGAAGGAGTCAACTGAGGCCATGAACTGTGGGCGATATCCTTTTTTTACACAGTAATATAAAGCACCGCATCAAACACTATATGCCTTCGCGTAGGAATTCTAATCGGGTAAATTTATATCGTATACCGTTTATACCGCAGAGTACTAATGTAACATATTTTGCTCAAAACATGCAATTACATGCAATTTTTGGAATGTCATTATTCTTCAAGTTTTTTGCTTTAAATTTTGTTTATATCATCTACACCCGCCACCCAAATCTGGGACAAAGGAACAATATTTTGTGGTCAGTAGAAACAATTTGTTCTGTCTACTGTATATCTGGCAAAGTGGGTCTGCAATGAGATGGTTTTCAAAGTCTGTTCTAGATTCCTCCTACCACTAATATTAGCAGTCTATTGGGTCAGGAATGAAAAAAACAGGGCGACGTCCAATAAAAACATTTGACTAATTTGCAGAAATGCTGAACAACTGAAGGCAGAGAGACATTGGCACAGTCTAAGGCAAACTAAGACTGACAACAGCAGCAACTGAAACAACTTTTCAAATAAATGTAGATAATTCTGAAAACATCACCTCATAAAAGAGCTTATTCAACAGTGATTGATTTATTCCTGCAGACTGAACTTCCTCCCTCTACAGGCATTTAACTGAAAGATCACATTTCTTAATCAAATGATTTAGAAATGCTATTACCATCTTTATTTCATATATGGTATTGTGGCTAGGATTTCAAGTTCATATAATTAATCTGTAATTTTTCATTGTTGCCACAACTGTTCTGTCTGTGATACTGTAAAATTAGCCACTACAGCTAACAAAGATGAAACAGGTATTTATGTCTGTTCATATTTGTTATAAACTGAAAATACTTCAGGACATGCCCAAGCTGTACACGATTACTGACCTGAAAAAAATATCAGTGTTCACACCAAGTTTCGGTAATAGAGAAAAGGATGAAGGCACGTTGGTGCAAATCCTGACATTCCACTACAGCTCACCTACAGCGGAAATGAAAAACGGCTGGATGCAAAGAGGAGTGAGCTTGAAAATAACAAAAGTCCAAATAGAATCTCCTACACAGTACATCTGTCTTCACCACCCAGAAGTATGAAGAGCTATAAATTTTGGATCTCAAAAAAAAATTCTGTGCTGAGGAGCTCATGAAACAAATGAAAATTGACATTTCCGCTGGAAATGCTATTGAGGATGGCAGGTCAACCCCATGGTTTCTCACACCTAACATATCACATGACATGAGAGAAACCACTGACCTGTTCAAAGAATTTTCTGATGTCAACAAAGATGAAAAGAAAAGCAAAATTGTCATCGCCTACATCTGATCCCACTCATCCAGGGGCCTCCATCAAAGAGGGAAGCTGGTGGATACCCAGTACAAACCCATAATCAAACCAGCTACACCTGAAGTACTTGACATAGGGGACAGCAGTATAACACTGGAACCACAGTCATCTCCAGCCAAAGATTTTGTAGTTCATGGTTTACATCAAAAAGGAAAATGGAGGAGAAGACTGTAGAACTATAGACACGAGAAAACCAGACAAAGATCAGATATCAGAACATCCACTAAACCTGCTGACGTTAGTTTGACATCAGACAATTCTCATGTGGCCAGCCAGCAGGAATCCTGCCACATTCCTGTATGGGTGTATGTGCTTATAGAGTTTGCATGTTGTGTGTTATGCAGGATTTGACTGGGTGCTCAGATTTCCTCCCAAAGTCTAATTATATGAAGTTCATGCTTAATCACACCTCCAAGCTATCCAGACTCCTCCTCCTATACACATATAGGATCAAAAGCTCTGAATAAAGGCTGAAGGACAGCATATCAGTCAAAGCTGTAACAGTGAAAGAGACCCAACTGAGGCAAATCTAAACGACCAAAAAGTGTTTCCACTAATTTCTTCCAAAGTACTGTCGTTACGATTTCAGTTTTAATTAATTTATTCATGTCATTTCATATTTAATTGAATTATTTAAGGATTGAACTAAATAATTTTGCTCTCTTTGGGCTTTCTCTCAGCCTTTTTCTTGAAGTCTCTGAAAAAATATCTATATATTTTTATTTTACCACGTAATAATTACTGTGCAGTTTTGTTTAATATGCACTTTAAATTATTTGATTGCAACAGTAAGTTACATACAGGACCACACAGAGAATGTAAACTCAGATTGCCTGGATGTGCAACATTCATTAAGTTCAGTATCTTTTTACATTTTTCTCTTCGTGGTTAAGCTAATTTGATGTACTTCTTTGTTGTACTTTTGACATAAGGCCACTTAAAATTAATAAATTGTTTTACATGACTCAAACTTCTAAAATATTGGTGAGTAGGGGATTTTATATTTTATATTTTATATTTTTAGCGAAAAGACGATCGGCAACAGAGATATACTAAAACTAGAAAATTAAACTTTAATTTGTCAGTATCTCAACATTTTAAACTCTCAACAGTTCAAACAATTACAAGAAAAGAGAAACGTTCAAAAGAAATGCCTAGTCTAAGTGTTTAATGGTCTTGCCACAGAATGGCCCAATAAAAGCGTCCTCCTGACAATAGCAAAACAACAGCACTTCCATTGTTTCATGAGGGTCACTATTATTGGACCACCCTACAAGAGACTACTTGCTCACAGTGCACAGGATATCAGGATTTGGCACATTGACGATCTCTGACAGTTTTTGAGGTGAAAAAAAACGGATTTTTTGAAAAATATAAAAAAAAATCGAGGCGGCACCAAAAAATTGAGGCGGGCGGCCATGTAAAACAATTTATTAATTTTAAGTGGCCTAATGGCTAATTAAAGAGCTAGAATTATGCTTAATCATTGCATTGTAATTCAGCAAGTTCGAGTGCAATGTAAAACGTTACGGTGAATATTGATATGATTAATTTGATAGAATGTGAATTTATACTATATTATTAGGTTAATGTGAATCCAAAGACAAATGAAATTCTGAACGCAAACCTTGGTAAATGGGTCCCCCTACAGGGGCAATCGCGTCATTGCATTGGGCTGCGCGGCATTTAAGGTGGACCGGAAAATCCGAATAAGGAGCCAACTTCAGCCTCGTCCAGTTAACTACGGTAGCGGTTGCACTGTTGTACTGATGCTATGTTACTGTCCGATAGCCCAGTTCAGCAAACTTCTTGCTGCTTGTTTTATTTCTATTAAATGTATATAATTACATATGTGTACAGAGAATTAGTTGTAAAAATGCTTTAAGAGAGAAGACATCTGGGAGGTGTGTCAAAAAAGGACACCATAATTATGTTATGACCTATAATAGCTAATAAATATTAATTTAATTTTCAAATTAGTACTATTGCAATGGTATGCAAACAAAAATTTATTTAGGCTTTACCTCAGATTACAGATGTAACCAATGGCGTTTTCCACCGTACGGTACTTTTGCTTTTCCATTGACCTCCGGTCGAGTACCAGTACCGAAAGTTCCAGTACCGAAAGTGCAAAACCAGCTGGAGTAATACTTTCGTACTTTGGGGTGGGACCAGCAAACGTATTTGCTGTGGATTGGTTATGCAAATACAACACAAACACAAAATAAAACCTCCTTCTTTTGAAACACACAGCGAACAGCGAGAAACAAAATAAAAAGCAGTAGAAACAAAGATTTTATTATTTTTTTAAAGTTAAACGGAAGGATGGACAAACGAGGAAACATGCTTTAATCGCCACATGGTCAGATGAACAGATCTAGCGTGATTTGGATGGCACGGCTCGAAATGAAAGAGTACTTGCCGTAATAACAGGCCGCTTGGAAGAAATGGGGCACACGCGAAACACCGAACAATGCCGCTTGAAAAACTAAAAAACTTAAGCAGGACTACAGGAAAGTGAAGGATCATAATAAGAAATACCGCGCCGCGCTTTGTAATGATGTCATTTTGCGCCGGTGTTCTGTCGAAAAATACTACCTATCGAAAAAGAAAAAAAAAATACTACCTATCGAGACGTGCTATCGAGCCTTTCTGCACATGGGCAGTTCCACCGTTTTGGGATTAGGGTTAGGTTTTAGGGGTTAGGGTTAGAGTAAGGGTTTTAGGGGTTTTGGGGGCTTAGGGCTATCGATTAGCACTACGGTAGCATTTTTCGACAAGGCAGCATATATCGACAGAACACCGGTGCCAGTTTTACGCCAGTGGAAAACCGACACGAAAGAAGTACCATACTTTTGGTACTTTATGGAAGTACCGAAAGTACGGTACCTGGTGCTGTGGAAAAACGCCCCAAGGCATCACTTGAAAGTGTATTAGACGTTCTTTCAATTGTAATGCGGTTTTTAGCACTGACAATCGCGGTGGTATTCAGGCGGTTTATACGTATGGGATTTAATTTCATGTAGGCT